AAATCCCAGTTTTACTTGATCAATATTTAATCAAACCTTTTCAGACTTACACAGCGCCGACCAATAAAATCCCGAATTCCAACGAGGAAAGTTACGATTTAGACGATGTGGGTCGTCACTTTGTCAAACGTTGTATAGAGGTGTTGGAGAAGCGCGGGCTGGAGGAGCAGGGAATTTATCGGTGGGTTTGCCTGATGGTGCCAGTTGTAAGAAATGGATTAACCAGGCAGTTTCAGTGTGGTTGGAGTGACTTCCAAGGTAAATAAGCTCCTGACAATGGGGCTGGATCGGAGAAAAGCCGATAAAGTGGCTCTTGATGACCCGCAAGAATGGGAAACCAAAACCATAACCACCGCTCTGAAAACGTATTTGCGCAATCTGCCCGAACCGCTGATGTCTTTCAAGCATCACAACGACTTTATCAACGCCGTCAGTAAGTTGAAGTTGAAGCGCTATTGGTGCTGGATTGAACCCCCGGTTTGTTGCAGAAAGGGAATCCAGGCAAAACATGGTGCACGAAGTGCACAAGCTGTTATACAAGCTGCCGAAAACCAACTTGGAAGTGCTGAGCATTTTGATTAAGCACCTGACAAAGTAAAGGCCGTTTTACAGTCGGCAATTTTTATTGCCCGCAATATTTCGTTCTACGCTTGCGGATTTTATCAGTTTTCGAGTTGCCGGCAACTTTTATTGCACTTGCCGGCTATTGTTCCAAACCTAAACTTTCTTGCAGCTAGCCGCAATTTTAGTGACTTTTCTGGTTCTTTTCATGCTGCCAACTGTTCGTTCATAGTAATATCAATCACCAGCACTGGCATGTTTGCTTATTTTCATATATATAATATATATAAATAATCTATATTTCCTACAGAAAAAGGCAGTTAGTACATATGTCTTAGCCTAGCTTATTCTAAAATTAATTTCGATTCCTAACACTCGTATAAATTAATTAGCTATAAAAAAATAAAAAATGAAAATGCTTGGCTTACAAAACAAACATATCTTAGTCCTTAGTTCAGTTGCGTTTGTGGTTCTATGTACTGAACTGAACTCATAGATAAAGACGAGTACGTAGTGACTGAACTTATCTCTGTAACTAACTAGTAAATAGAAGTTTGTTTTGATTAACATGACCTCAAACTAACTTGCGCATGTCATTTAAGGAAGGAGCCGATTGCGATATATGCGCTAGCGAGTAGTCTGTGCTCTACGTCTCTTTTCCCACAGAACATCCACTTCTGTGCCTTTTCCAGCTCAATGTAGAATTAGGGTTGGGTTTTACTTTTTAGGCAATTTCAGGTAAAATAACTATATTTTATATATTTTAGCAAATGTATCCTGAGAAGTCGTTGAATATAAATGAAAGTGCTGAAATAGCCTTTTGACATTAATTAGTAAAATGATTGTAAGGTTATTATTTGGCTGCAATTACGTCATCACAGACAAAGCAAATTGGGCCCTCCCAACAGAAACGTTATTTATCCTAGTCGCCTGTGGCAGCTGGCAGCATCTCGTTTTTATCTATGGTTAATTTGTACTCTGTGTTGTAGTCGTAAATAGTGTGATGGAAAGGTAGAAATTCTCTGTGTGAGTTTATCCGAAAATAAATAGTTGTAATATCTCAGTTCCTTTAGTTGCGTTTTTGTGCTTCGTGTACGGTGATTCCAGTCCAACCTGTCCTGGCAGTAAGAGTAAAATAGAAAAAATCGTCGAGTATTTCAAATGTCATAAACATTCATTAGCAACTGCACTAATTTTTATATGAACAAAAATGGACTTGTCAACTGGCATAGGACATTTAAATCAAGAAAATCAAGCTGCAGGCAACTGCAGTGATGAGGACTCCTTATTGGATGGCATCCTGGACCTGAGTGGACTGGATTTGGACAATGAAGAAACTTGGTATGTATTTAATTTTAACTGACACCAAAAACTGAACTGGCTGTTATTTTAAGCCCCAAGAATGTACAGCCTGCAAGACCGCGTACAAGACTTGCTCTACGTTTTGTTATTCAAGCACTCACTTGGCTATTTTTAACTGTTTCATCTTCAAACTCATTTTCAGTTCATTGTTTTTCCACATCCAACCATATACTTAATGCAAGCCTTTTTTAAGCATTTAGGGCAAAAAGCACATTTTTAGTATAACGAGCTGACTGTCTAACATTTCATCCGATAAGTGAAAGCTTTTATTGCTCAATTATCATAGTTTTAGACTAAATAATGCTTATTTCTTCTATGGCCACCTGACACAAAGACTGCTCCAACAGCTGAATCGGAATAGCTTAATACCATTTCAGGCGTACTTAATTGCTTAGACTA